CCCCCCCGCCTCCGCGGAAGGGTGGGGCCAGCCCCCGCCTGCTCCGGAGGCTCTAGACCCGACCGTGCGCTCCGGGCAACGGTGGCCCCGGCCTAGCGCTGACTGTGCCCACCTACCGCGTGTCTTGCCGTGACTCGGCGAGGTTTGGACGCCGGAAGGCGCGAGAGGGGGGTGTTGTGGTGTGTCCCGCTGCTGGCACGGATCCGCTTGCTTGGGGCCTTTTGGGGTCCACGAGTGCTTGGGCGACCGCCTGGGCCTTGCATGGTCAGGGTGTTGCCTGCCCGCCTCCCGGCGGTCGCTGCTGCTGGTGGCAGTGGCCAAACCCAGCTGGAGATTTTGCTCTCCTTGCTTGCTCTCTGGTGTATGTGGGTCTTTTATTTACTTATTTACTTATTTTGGTGTCTTGGGAGTCGCGTTGCTCACTTGTTCTCCTGTGCTAGAAAGGAAAATGGATACTAAAAATGCAGAAGTTGACTATTCCCACCCCCCCCCGCCCATCTTTACTATTCCTTGTCTTGCTGGTTGGCCTTTGTCAGTAGGGCCACTTGACTTTCCTCTGTTTCTGTTTAGGCTTGCAGCTCAAGCAGAACAATTGGGAAATGACGGGGAGCTTTTGTAAAAGAGAGTGATTCTAGAAGCCGACTGTAAACTCCATGCGCACCTCCTCGGCTGCTTTATGCAGCCAAGGTGGCCTAAAACATGTAAAGTGAATAACTCATGTAAACGTTTTCAGAGTTCGGACCTCAGTTGCTAATCTCGCTAAAGCTATTAAGATAGAGCTTTAAAATGTTTCTAATTGATTAAAACAGCAGCAGTTGATAGTCTAAGCCACACTTTCATTGGCCTTTAGCCTTAAGTGAAATAAAAGGAGGGGGGAGTAGCCCCTAGCTCTAGGCTCCTCCCCAGTGTGGTTAAGACTGTCCTAATGAAAGGTGTCCTGTCTGACTACATGTAATATCCAGTCTCTATCTGGCATTCATCATAAAATATTTTTCCCCTCTGCCTGAGAACTACTTCTTGTCAGGCCACCAGGTGTATGTTGTGGGAAAGGAAAGGCTTGTCTTCAGTTTCTGGCAGCAGTCCTTCACTTCCAACTTTGAGTTTATCTGTTTTTCCTTGCCATAAAGCAAGCCTGGTAAATGATGTCATGGTTAACTTCTTTTTAAAGACATTATAAATGGAGTTTTGGGACTTGAGCAAAATGACCAGCGGTGATGAAATTCCAGGGTAAAACGAAAACTTCTCCATGGTGGGAAACTTAGACTGATAAACAAAAAGACTTTCTAAATAGTCTTAAGAGCAAAGGTGATCATGAGGCAAATTGTTCTTTTGGACTGCATAAACATCAAGAGACAGTAATGTAAATCACCTTACAATCTTTACTATACGTAAAATATTGCATACATGCAGTTGGATCCTGAAGCTACCACTTTTCTTCTAAGGATGTATGTTCTATATCTAGTCAAGCTTTCTGGTGGTTTCCATTCCTCACTCCAGGTTCTAAATGCTGGCAGGTTTGTTTGGTTTATGTAGTTATGGCTGCTTTCAAACTTGTTGACTCAAAGGTGTTTGGATATGCACCCTGAGCTAAACACAACAACCAGATGGCTTGCTCACATCAGTGACTTGTTCTTTAATTACAGAGCAGTATATGGATCAGCTCTTATCTTCTAAAGAAAGAGTAGAAACTTTTTTTCCTTTAAAGCATATAGTACAGTTGTTAAACATCAGAATAACTTCAAAAGGACCCCACTCTGTAGTGCACTTAATAAAATATTACTGTCTTGGTGAAGAAAAGTTTACTTTTCAATTTGATTGTAGCCTAGGTTACCAAGTGTGGCATGAGGAAAGCTTGTGTTTTATAAAGGCAGTTTCCTTAAATCACTATTCAGGCCAAGAGAAGCATCTGCCTAGTTTTTGCCTCTTTCAGAAATTGAAGTTTATTTGCTTTGCACAATGGTGTTTTATTCCAGGGAGAGGGCAAAATGTAGTATGGCATTGAACAGGTGTTGATGCTAAGGAGCCTGGCAGGGTTCCAGTATAAAGTATTCTGTAATATTTATATAAGCTGAATATCTCAGTGGTTTGAGGCAGCTATTCAAACCTTGAAATAAGAATGTTGCTGAATGGCAGAAACTAGCGTTTGACCTGTTTGTCCTGGTTGAGCTGCACCGAAATGTACCAGATATGCAGTTAAATGTTTTTTAATTGCAGCCCCATGCTTTGGTTTTAAGTAGCTTGAATTGCACTAAATTAACAAAATGTCATTATAAAATGTTAATTGATTTCTAGAGTTTTTACTAACTTACTCTTTTTAAAATGCTTTACAGATTGCTCTATGAGTGTTCCTTAAATCTGCCAAAATGGTTTTAGCAGATCTTGGAAGAAAAATAACATCAGCATTGCGCTCTCTGAGCAATGCTACAATTATCAATGAAGAGGTATGTAATGTTTATATTTATGGTACTGGGGATGTTTGAGCCTGGAAGAAAGCTAATGTGCTAATCCTTAAAGGGTAAATTGGACTTCTTGGCTCACTCGGGGCATGTCAAGCTGCCATTGAACCTAGACAATGGAATGGCTGTTTATCAGGCTAGTGTACTAGAGAAACAAAGGAGAGTACTGCCAGTCAATTTGAGATCATGGAAAATGCATGTAATCTTTACAAGATAAGTGTTACTGACAAAACTAACAGTAATGGTTCCTGTAGTACCTGATTTCTCAAAGCCACTTGACTGTATAGCTTAACATTTTTAATAACTTCAAATGATACACACCATATTGATTCTGTATCAAGTGTATTAAAACTGGCTAACTGAATTTAAGTGGAGTTGTAAACATGAAATCTTCATTGTGTTTGGTGTCTTTTCTCATGGCCTTCAATAGGGATTAGGATCAGAGAAAAGGGTTGAAACAGTCCTCAACGTCATCTAGTCTAGTGTTTCTCAACTTTTTGTGTACTAGGACCCATTTGTAAGTATTGATGGCCAGTCCCAACCCAGTAATAGTTTCAGTAGAAAACAGCCCCTGGTCCTGCCAGTGTCCCTCACTCCCAGGCTGCCAACCCTTCCCCAGCCCTGCTGATGCCACTCATTCCCAGCCTGCTGCCCCCCATCCCAGTGAGACTCACTGCTGCTACCACTGCTGGGACCCCTGCACCATTTGCACCACCAGCAGTGCAAAGAGTAAAGGATGGGGGAAGAGGGGGCCATGCTGCCCGTGCCTCCTCTCAGATTTTAAGATTAGAAATAAGACCTGAATAACATTGAATTATAGAAGATTTTTTTTATCAGTGGTAAACTTTAAATCAAAATGTGATATCTTGTGGGAAGATGCTCTAGTTCAGCCACATCTGTTGGGCTTGAAGCTGACTTTTAATACAGGGAAGTTCTTTGGCTTGGGTTATGCAGGAGGCAAAGGAGGTTGATCACAGTGATCCCTTTTGGCTTCAAGATCTGCTAGATATCACAAAGTTTATCGTGCCTTTTTATAAGAAGTCTTCAGCTTTGAGACCCCAAATTCTTCACCAACTCCTATCTTCAATCCATGTTTAAAGAAGCAAAAGACTAGCCAGCACCTCCAAAGGTGGGTGCCTGAAGTTAGGCATCTAAACCTGTAGCGTGATTTCCTCCACCCCTTCCCCCCACCATAAGTATGAGCAATCTGCATCTCCCTGTCTCTCCATAGGAGCTGCAAGACTCCTCTATTTCTGTAAAACAGGTCACTTACTAAGTGTTTTTTGGTAATATCTTGAAAACGGAACTTGGTGTATTCAAAAGTAATTCTTAAATTTAATGTAGGTTCCCAACTCGGCCATCCCAGTTTGAAAACACTGCCTCCAGTTCATTAATCTAGTTTATTATCTATGTTCTCAATAAATGAAGAGCTTTTTGCTTCTGTACTTCTATTTTGTAGACAATATGATTTGAGATTCTTGTGCACTTGTGTCAATTCCCCGACGCACACCATTTCTGAGAGCCTCATTTTATTTACTGTGTGGGTGTTCAAGGTGGTTTTGAAGCACCTGTTCTCTTTCTTAGAAAAAACAATCCTATTTGCATCTGAGAGAATGTGGTGGAATTTTTGTGATACCTTTAACTAGTAAAAGGAAAGGAACCTATTCCTCAGGTACAGGTGAAGTTTCCAAATTTTTAAAATGAACAATGATGCTCCATATGTGAACACTTTCCTGGTGTTTGTATAGTCAAATCAAATATAGTTTAAAGTTGGTTCATTCTATTGTCTGACTGTGCTTTACATAAAAAAGATGTGCATTTTCTTATTACTAATATTAAGGATTGAGTACTGTGTCATTTGTGTGGTAGCTCATGAGTGGTTTTTCTTTTTTTCTTCAAAGGTTTTAAATGCTATGTTAAAAGAAGTATGCACAGCATTACTGGAAGCTGATGTTAATATTAAATTAGTGAAGCAGCTAAGAGAAAATGTCAAGTAAGTCAAAGGAGCCAACTTAAAACTATTTATCTTTGCATTTCTGTCACTGAAGGGCTAGTG